TGGGGGGGGGGTGGGTGTTGTTCTCTGGTTTCTTAGGCAAATGTCTGTGTTCCAGTGGACTCTTTTCTCTCGGACTTAATCAGAAATGAGATGATAAAACAGCTCCCCATAATGGCAGAAGCAGTACAGTGTATCCGTGCAGAAGGTCTTAAGACGGCTCTTCTAAGCAACAGCTTCTGTCTGCTGAATGGAGAGAGCTTTCTGCCCCTAGGCCGGAAGCACTTTGATGTGGTAAGCCTGGATGGATTCCAAAATGCATTTCTGTAGCTAGGTCTATAGAAAGCTGCAACCGAAATTCTTTACGTGCAGGTACCAAATGAACGGCAACCAGCAGCACGTATTAGTAGACATAAATGTAACAGTCTGTGAAAATGTGCCCGGGCATAATCCGTTGTAGTGACTGGGCCTTGAAGAGGGTCTGAGTGAGTGGCAGGCACTTGTGCAATTCCTTGTAAAATGCCCACGCAACCACAAGTATACGTGTAACAGGTGTAACAGGCATAGCTAGCAATGTTGATAAAGGATTTAGAAGCTGGAACACTATACAAGAAATAAATATTATTACCCAGTGCCCCTGCTTGCTTTATGTTTAGTCCTTACTCTTTTAAAGCTTGTTTCATCCCAAAGAATTGAATAGCATCCCCCATATCAGAAAAATCCCACGACCCCAACATGCCGATCTGTCTGAGCTGATGAGCAGGCAGAGACCCCGCTCCCAGCACGCTTCGCTTTTGCAAAGACGAAGCAGAAGATTAGCCATGAACCTCGAGGCTGGTTTGAGTGGCTTCACTTTAACAGGCAGCTGTGAGGACTCACCTCAGCATGACAGAAAATTTGCTTTTTTGTGTGCCCCAACTCACATCTTTGAATTTCAGGAGTTTATTCATGACTTAAGTTTGTTTTATAGCCTTGATTGAGACAACAAAATATCCAAAGAAGAGTCGTAGCGATACATTTAAAACCTGGGACTGTTTAAAGTCCTTTTGTCAACATTATGTCATTATCGACTCATCTTTCTGTGCATTATACTGGTGACACCAGTGCCGATGAAGTTCTCTTCGTGGAGTGATGCTCTGTTGTGATGCTCTGTAGTACCTTTCATCCCCGACTGTTTCAAAGCACTTTAATAACCATGGCCTATCCGGTGTCATCACTCATGCAGTGTGGCTCTTCTGTAACAGCAGGCAACAGCACTGCACAGTAATTAGTGGGGAAAAAAAAAATTGAATGTGGATTTCCATTAGGATTGGCTTTTATGTCTGTCTAATAGATTAATTTCTATTCCTAGAGTGTCTATCAGTGCAGGGGTGAAATATTGCATTGAGCAATTGGTTCAGCACAGTCTGGGACATCCGATGAGTCTCCCACATCATGACATCTCGTTGGATATCTTCCATCCAAGGACTGGCTGAGCCAGTTTAGCTTATTTGAGCTGACAGAGCCACAGCCAAGCAATTGGCACCCACGCAGTCACTTGAATCACATCCTATCCAGCTCTGTCAGCCCTCCATTCCTCGTGTCCTTTATTTCACATGTTACTTAGACTGTCAGTCTGTTTTTCCACCCTCCCATCCTCCATTTCCAACACTGCACAGATGTTTGTGGTCACAGTAGGCTCATGCATAATCCATTTGTTGTTGCCATAGATGGTTGAATCTTATCGGGAAGGAATGCGCAAGCCAGATCCTTGTATCTACAAGTTGTGCTTGGAGCGCTTGGGCGTTCAGCCCCAGGAAACCATCTTCCTCGACAGCAGCACCCAGAACCTAAAAGCAGCAGCCCAGCTTGGCATTAAAACGGTGAAGGTACAAAGCAATGCAACCGGGGCAGGCTTTGGGTATGGTTTCTAAGTCCAGAAGCTGTGTTTGACTTGGATGGCTCAGGTTTTTCAATTGCTGTGGCAGACTCGTGTTGCCAAGCCAAGCCTTTTGTTTCAGCCTGTCCTTATTCCTACAGGGTATGGTGGGGTTGAAGGGGAGGATTACTGGCAACGTCTCCACTGGCCTGTTTCGTTCACAGTTCTAAACCCTACAGCCAGTGTAACCTCGGAGAAGTCACTTCTCCTTTATGGACCTCAGTTCCCTGTTAGAGAAACAGCCCTAACTGTATGGTTGAGACAACCACATCCATCTGATGTGAGAAAATAAGACATATTTAATAAATTTCTAGAAGCTCTGAGGCTTCATGGATCTGTCAGCTGGGGACTGACTGGTTAAATCCCAGGCTTTGAAGACAGTGAGCACAGGGGTTTTACTTTGGTGAGGAGGAAGGACAAGCATGGGACTGGTGGGAAGAGTGAACTCTGCTCCCGTGGGCTGCACACAGGGAATTCCAGCTCTTAGCCCAGCCCAAGCTCACAGTGCCTGTGCCACAGTAACAGGTACATCTCCAGGACAGAGACCAAGGTGGGAGGCTCAGCGAGTATTGGTAAAGGCACTCTGTGCTGGCAGGGACTGGCCAGTGAATTCCTGTGTGTCCTAGTGGATCGGTGCTGTTGGACTCACGGATAAATGCATCACAAGTATGCAGAGCTCTTTCTTTCCCAGGCAATTTTATCTTATAACTGTCACCCACTGTTTCTCCTTCCCTCCTGCTTTCAGGTCGATGATCCAGAAGTAGCACTCAAAGAGCTGGAAACCCATCTGGGTTTTCCTTTGCAAGGGTTTGTTCCATATACTCGTTCAGTGAGACCAAGCATGGAAATCCCAAAAGATCATCTGCAAAAGTACCTTGAAAATGTTCTCAGTGACCAGGCAACAGGTATCGCAGTGCTTTTTGCTCTTCAGCCTGAAAACTCGCATATTCTGGAGCCATTGGCTCTTTTCGTCATACGACAGATGGATTGAAAAATAGTATTAATGAAAGGCTCCTAATCTCCAAGTAAATGTTGCAGCCATTCAGGTTTCAGTGATCGTCACTGTTTCCCAGAAATGGGAAACAACATTTTAGGACTTCCTCGTTTGGGAGGGGTTGAGCACAAGTTGCCAAAGAGGTGCCAGGAATATTCCTGGCCCGTGAGCCATCTGTGAGCAGTTGCCATGCTCCGCGGGGATTTGGGACACAGGAGCAAAGCGTAGGTTCCTGATTGCTGCAAGTGAGATCTCAGACCCAGGCGCAGGAAGGGGAAGTAAAACCTGGAGAAGTGGTGAGAAATAATCCCAGCTCATGCTTCTGTCTGCTGACCTTCTGCTCTCAACTCTTCAGGCCCACTAGTGTTACGGCAGTTTGGCCACGGGCAGTCTACCCGGACCTATTACGTCAAATTTGGAGATCGCTTGCTAGTGCTGAAGAAGGAGCCTTCTGACAGCCTGCATCCCTCAGGCCCTGCTGTCAGAAGGGAACACAGGTGAGAAGGAGCTGCGCTCCTCATGCCAGCTGACCAGGGAAGACTCGTGTAGGAGATCCCAGACAGCCCTGTCCTAGGGACAGTGCTGTATTCCAGCCTTGGCTTGGCTGTTCCACATCACACACACACTTCACACACCTGCCTCCCACATTGTCCTCCCCTGCATTTTGCACAGCTCCGTATCCCGGTGTGGGATCTATCCGTTTGCTAGGGCTAGCGTGAGCCGTCCTGGATTGAGATACAAGGCTGTGCTACCGCCTTGCAGCTGGTGGTGAGCATGCAGTTAGGACCCTGCACCTGTGAAAAGCACCCTCCCCACGCCTGCACTGCCAATCCTTCCAACCCACGGAGCACACCACAGCTCTCCAGCACATGTCAGGAGACGCAGGATCTCACTGTTGGGTCTGGCACCTTGGGTGGGAGAGAGATTGCAGCACAGCACTGCAACTGAGCGGTGAGGAGGCGAGCGAAGGGCTAGCCCCATGCTGGAGGGGTCATGCTGCAAACCAGTTTGCTGTGCCAGTGATCTCTCCCTCAGCAGCAGAGCAGCAGGACACTTGTGGGGCAGCAGTTGTGATCTCCCCTTGGTTTTTCAGAGTGTGTTGGTCTCGGGGCTCTGGACCATACAAAGATTTTGGTGTGCTTCTTTCCCCTACCCCCAGCCATGCTATTTTAGTGTGTTTAAAACCAAGCACAGGTCTCTTTTTTATATTGTGTATCTGCCTAGCAACAACACAGTTCTAGTATCAATTGCCTAATGCCTTTCTGTGCTGACATGGCTCTCTCGCTCGCCCTGGCAGGGTACTGAAGGCACTCTCTGAGGCTGGTGTTCCTGTTCCCACTGTACTTGCTCTCTGCGAGGACAGAAGGTAATCTTGTCCCTCAGCTTTCACTCTGTGCTTGACAACTTCAGCCAAATTCCCCCAAAGATGAGGAGCGAAGGAGCCAGACCTCACAAAGTGCACTGGTCTAATTAGTGTTTGCCCAGTCTCGAGCTAGAGGAGCCTCTAGAAGTTCAAAGGACAGCAATACTTTTATTTGGCTTGTTTTAGGTGTGTCCTTATTTTAGCAATTAATCAAAATGCTATCTTCGTTTGAAAAGCTGCTATAAAACAATGTTGTAGGGCTTCCTGTTGACTCAGTATTCTCAGGTTTCCAATAAGGAGGTGATTTTTCTAACTGCCAGTCCTTGCCCCAAGGTCTTCAGCCGCGATAGCAGCAAGTCTGCAACCAGGAAACCCTGTCTAGCCTGCAGTCAGCACAGCTACGCTCAGATCTCTGCTGGCTGCAGTAATAAAGTCTCTGCACTGCAGTTAAATGTGTGTCACCGTTCGTGATGTTTGCGTGCAGTCTGACAGCCCAGCTCCAGAGCTCACTGCAGGGGAGGCAGGGAGGTGGTTGGTGCTGTAGCCCGGCCCCAGGCTCAGCTTCCTGGGGCTGATCATGCCACAGCTGTGTGCTACAGGCCTGGGGGCACGTTCAAGGTGCAGGTGAGTTTTGAGGGGTGGTAGGTAGCAGGATTAACCTCAGACCCGCCGGTTCCACCTTGCTTCCCCAGCACCTTTGGCACACCTTTCTACCTGATGGAGCACTGTGCTGGCCGTGTCTACAGCGACGTCTCCCTACCTGCGCTGCAGCCTAGCCAGCGGAGGGCTATTTATGCTGCCATGAGTCAAGTCCTCTCCAAGATCCACAGCATAGACCTCAGAGCAGCCAAACTGGAGGACCTCGGGGAGCACGGTGAGAGAAGGCTATGTGTCCTCTATCACTGTTTTCTTCTCCTGTGTATCAGTGTTTCAAGGGATAGGCTTGGGTATAGGAGTTGGGCCAAACTTGGGGGCAGTTGGGAAGGCGAAGATGAGCAGCAGGGTGTCTGAATCCCCTGGCGTGGTGGGAGGGTGCTTTAGATCCTCCAGGTCTGTGTTTCCTGTTAGTAGTCCCCAGAGCTTCCTTCCATGAGCAAGAGCTGCACTGTGGGTGCAGGAGTAACCTATTTGCTGCCACCTCTGACCAAACTTTCTCAGCTCCTCCAGTCTCTCTGCAGGGCTATCTCAGCTTCTTGGAGTTGGTGGAGAAGTTACATTTTTGTCCAGGGTCTGATTATTTCCACCAGAATATCAAATCCAGTGCCCAGTTAAGAATGTATGAGACCCCCTGGAAATCACAATTAAACTCTTGGAGCTTATCGCAGGATGCTGGACTGAGATCTGCTTGGCTGTTTGACTTTTTCTTCATGCATCTTTTATGCATCTCTTTTGAAGCCTTTTTGTGCCTGTCCCTTTCCCTGAGAGCCTTTGTTCCCTTTTTACAGGTAATTACATTCAGCAGCAAGTTAAGACCTGGACAGAGCAGTATCGAGCTATGGAAACTCACGTTATCCCAGCCATGGAGAGACTCATTGAGTGGCTGCCTCTGCATTTTCCTGAATCTCAGAAGACGACAGTTGTGCATGGTGATTTCAGGTACTGCTTGGCTGACAGCACTGCCCTGGAGCACATCC